GCCCAGATTCTCCCGTATAATGACCGCTACCCCACCGCCCCTACCCCGGGTCCTTGGCTGATGGAATACCTGGAAACCCGGCGGGCACATATCTACGAGGGGCACTCCCCCCTCTGTGCCCAGCCAGGTCTCCGTGATACCTGCCAGGTCCAAGGTATTCCCTCATTTCATATAATAACATATGCTTCTCATGTAAAGAAATAGGAAAGCAATTCCCCAAGTATAGCTCTGAAAGTCAGTAAAAATTTACATTCATAGTTCAAACAGGCCAGATATGCTGCCCAGAAGTTCCTTCTTTGCAGCTGGGTTTTTCACAGGTGGTAACTGTCAAGGTCAAGGAAATTTTTTTCTAGAGTCTGGACTTCAAGCCAAGTCTCTTTTAGGCAATAACAAATTGTAATACCATACTTTGCCACAAGATGTCACCGATGCCATTTAAAGTTTTTTAAGTGCAAAATTTTTATGATAGTTTTTCAACTCTTATTTCTTTTTTAGATAAAAACAAACATCTCCAGTAAGAAAAGGAACACTTTTAGTCTCCAAGTTTCAAAAGCATACACATCCAATTAAATTAATTTTTTTCTTATAGTTGCTCTGTTTCTCCTGGGTAGTTAGTCGCCGCTTTTCTTAGAGGGTGGGATAGAAATTCCCTTCCCTCTCTCCTCACAGGGGGAAAAATATTTTGGGCAGCTTTTACAGGAAAAAATACTTAAAGTCTTAAAGAGAGGACCAGATCTCACCCAGTTTCATCCAGGTTGCTTTAAAGGTGCTTAGTGATGATTTTGACTTCGGCTGTCAGCAGCTCAGTGATGGGCCGTATTGCTATGGCTGATCTTTCCCTTGCCGGTTTGAAGGGCTTCCCTGGATCAAACGGAAGGGCCGCTGCCCTCCCGCTATTAAGCAGGGGGGGTCCCCTCCTTGCTCGTTGCCCCTACAGGGCGACTTTTGACCCTTTCCAGGGTCCCCCAGCAGAACGAATTCGGACACGGAAGATAGCGCTCGCCTTCCTGCGTCCGCAGGCACCATGATGGCAAACTGGAAGTCGGACCTACCCCCAATCTTAAATTCCTCACTCCATTCTCCCACCAGATGGTCGGGTGCCACTTGTCGAACCAGGCCAGACCCAAAATTACAGCCTCAGTCATTTTTGGGACCACCACAAATGATTTCCCAGTGCCGGCCCATTTCCAACCACACTGGTTCTGCCAGGTGCGTGGCAGATGCAGATTTGGGACCGGTCAGCTTGTTCAAATCTCATGGCTAGGGGTAATAGCTCTGCCCGAATCCCCACCTTGAGCACTGTGGATAGATTAATTAGGCACCGGGTGCAACCTGAGTCTATTAATACATTTAAGATCATTTGGGCCCCGGTTCTGAGTACTATTATCTTGGTGGGGATGGCGAAAGGTGGGATGGGTTGACTTACCATCATATCCTCTTCGGCTTCCTCATCACTGCCATAGGGCACCGGCATCTGTAATTGCTCTGGCTGAGCTCTTGCCTCGGGCTCGGCAGGAGAGGGTTGTCCAACAGCTGAGTCCTGTCGTGCCGTTTGTCTTTTCCCTTCCTCCCCTGGGGGCTTTTTGTGGCTTAGCGGTGGCAGCCGGTGTGCTTCTGGACTGGGGACTCCACAGCATGGTGGCCCATTTGGCCTCATCAGTAGCATTTGACTGGAACTCTAACTGGTGCTTGGGCGGCGCTGGTGGTTGTGGTGGCATGGCATGTGCAGCAACTTGGATTCAGCTGTGCCTGGCTTTCTGGGGCAATCCAATTCGATGTCCAGCATCACCACCATGCTCTAACACTCATGCAATTGGTTAGGAAAGCCCCTAATGATGCAGGTTTGGAGTAGGTCCCGGTCTAGCCCAGGGGTCGGCAACCTTAAACACTCAAAGAGCCACTTGGACCCGTTTCCCAGAGAAAAGAAAACACTGGGAGCTGGAACACTTGTGCGCACGTGCGGGGGGGGGGGGAGTTTAATTAAAAAGAAATCGAGGCTGCTGTGCATGAGTTCTCTCTCTCTCTCTCTCTCTCTCTCTCTCTCTCCCGTCTCCCTATCTCCGATTTTCTGCTCACCTGGCAAGCTGGCTTCACGCTGTTGTCCTACAAGCTGACACACATTCTTATTGGGCTGGCTCTCTCCTGCCCTTGGTCTGCCACTCCTCTTCTCCCACTCAGTGTGTGCGCTCAGTGTGTGTGTGTGTGTGTGTGTG